TCCCACTGTTTCACACAGGAGTCCGTGTAGGTCCTTTGGGACCTCAGACACTGTATTGTCCCTGCACATGCTCACTTGCACCTCAGTGAGGGACCAGGTAGCCTCTGGTGCAGGTATCCCAGGCAGATCGATGGCAAGGACAGAGCCAAGACATCTGAGAAAAGCTGACAGTCAGAGAAAACCATGCCTTGAGCCTCTTTGTTGTGCATAAAGGGATGCACCCAATCCATGCTCAGAATTTCAGCTCAGATGAGAATTTAGCTTCACTACCATGTTAATGTGCCCGAGATGCTTGTGGCCCAGAAGAGGCATCTCTCTTGAGTGGACTGAACTAGACCACTGCAGAGCCAAGCAGAGACCACCCGTAAGGGTGACGAGCCTGGGATGAAGCCCCAAGGGTCCTGGGACCACCTTTCCCTCCATGGCCCTGACTGTGGATGGAAGTGGACAGTGGTTCTAATGCTGCCCACCTGGGCCTGGCCCTCACTCTCTGAGAAATTTGGCTGTCAGGGGTCTAAAGGGCTTGAAGTATACCTTTTATTTCCCCAGCCAAGTCACTTAGAAAGTGCCATTACTTGAGCTGCTGGTTTCTGCTGATTCCCAGAGCCCTTGCCTCTGCTTCTAAGGCCCCGGCGCTGTGTCGGCTGCTGTCTTGGACTCCTTACCCCAGTGGTGGCACCCTGCACTGGCTCAGCCCTCAAGGAGCACTGTGCCTCTGTTGAGGCAGCTCTGTGCTTGTGGACAGAACTGCCATGTGCCTGCAGCCTGACAGGGTCAGACTTCAGGGCTCCAGGCATGATGCAGGCCTGTGTGTGTAGACCAAACTCCTCCAGCTGCATGGCCCTCGCCTCACCGTATGCTTATTTTGAGGTCCCAATTTCCACACATTTGCTTGATTTCTTGGTTACCAGCCTGTACACCGATATTGGGGTCTCTATTAGTAACACTGTCTTCTTGCCTGCCCAAGCTCTGGATAGGTTAAAAGTAGTACAAATTGGAAGCCTGGGTGGCAGAGGGAGCTGCCTTTGGGATGTGCTTAGATGGGCTGGCCCGAGGCTCAGTGTCCAGTACTGGTGTCCAGGTATGATCCCCAAGGATAGGTGAGCCCCAACCTGGTCACAGCTGTGCACAGGCTCTGGAGATCAAGAACATGGCCCTTTTTTCTCCCAGTTTTCCTCCATTGGCATGCTTTTTCAGTGAGCTTTTTGCACCCCCCTCCCCCCTTCTCTTATTTGCCCGTCTACTACCATGGACATAGTAGGAGTGATGGTCGTGTACTGTCCTGGCTATACCCCTCCCAAGATGACTGTCCTATCATCCCAGATCAAACTGGGCATGAGAGGCAGGGCAGGGCTTCTGTTCAAAGTGATGGGACGTCAGCCTTTGTAAGTAAAAGGGGTGCCCTGGCTTGGGGTCCGGGCCTTGGGCAGCCATGCTGGAAACCAGGCCGCAGCAGGTTTGGCTCCAGGGGGGTCTCCTGCTCGGAAGGTGGCACAAACGTGTCTGACATGTGCTTCTCCCCCAGCTCTGCACACAACCCCAGGACTTGTAGCTGACTTGATTATGTCACCATGGGAGCCCAGAGGTAGTTTTGTAGCTCTGAATGTCTTTTAAGATTATTTTAAACAAATGTTTTTATTTTCCCTGGCCAATATAGTTTTTCTTGGGGGCTTTACTCTTTGATCTGGACTGGAAAAAACGTTACCATTTTAAGACCTCTTAAAACCTACCTTTAGATTTATTGTCTGCACAAATGGAGATTCGGATAATAGCTCTGTTCTTAATGGGAGAGAAACAGGAAAAGAAAATAAATTTCTTGCTTTGGAATGATAAACACGGTGAAGCATATGCCGTATATCCTGGCAACAGGAATTCAAGGTCGGAAATAATTCCTTTCCTCCTGAGTCTGCGTCAGCTTCCCTGAGGAGTGCAGAGGCTGAAATTTGCTACTAATTGTAGCCATAATTTTAGCATGCAATTAAACACATGTTTCCTTCCCAGCTGATGTCTTTTTAGCTCTCTGACATGGATAAAACAAAAGCTCTGTAGATTTGAGCCGCCATTTTAACCCACTAGGAGGTAGGAACTAGAGTAATCCTGCCTATAACAATGCAGAACAGCATGGGTGCTTTTAATACAGTTTCAGTATTTCTGTCTGTGCTCGGAAGGAGCCAACAGTTGCCATGTCTATTTTCCAAAGGCCCTCCATGAGGTTAAGGATCGTTTGAAGGAGTGATACTAGGTGGGGAGGAATCAGAGGTGAAGACTGCGGTTGTGGTGGTGGTGGCAGAGGCTCACAGAGGCCACCTCACGCTGTGGCAGGTCTGGTGTCTGAGGGACCCCAGGACCTGAGAGCAGAGCCACTCCAGGCTTCAGGCTGACCCGCCCTGGGCTGGTGTACCATTCACTGCTTTTCTCTCCCTTGGCCTCTCCAAGAGGGTCATTGGCACTGTACAGGATGCTCCCTGTGAAACAAGGGCTCCCTGCCCAGAGAGTGTGGTAACTAACAGAGCAAAGGAACTAAATAGGTTTTTCTACTTAACGGTGTCTTAGAGCCTGTCACATGCTGCTGTACATCGTGATCCTAGAAGGAAGAGTTCAACAAGCGTGGTTTTGAGAACTATATGACCATGGCATTACTTATTTGTTTGTTTGAGAGAGGAAGGGAGAGGGAGGGAGAGATAGAAACATCAATGATGAGAGAGACTCATTGATCAGCTGCCTCCAGCACGCCCCCCACTGGGGATCGAGCCCACAACCCAGGCATGTGCCCTTGACCGGAATCGAACCTGGGATTCTTAAGTCTGCAGGCCGACGCTCTGTTCACTGAGCCAAACCAGCCAGGGCATGACCAGGGCATTCTTTATTCAAGGAACAAAAAAAAAAGGCCACAGTTGGGGAAGCGTCACTCTGGTTGTATGAGGCCTCTTGAGCATGACTTTTCATGATAAAGGCAAACACTGATTTTGCACACATCGTGTCCTAGCCTCAGGCCCAAGCTCTTCCACGCCTGGTCTCACTGACATTTCCTCTTGTTACTATCCCTGTGATGCAGGTGAGAAACTGATCCACTGGGAGGCTAAGCAGCTTGCTCAAGGCCTCAGAGTTAGGGGCTGGGCCTGTTCTATTTTCCAGCCTGAGCTTTGGTTGACTTTAAGTGTTGGACCCTATAGGCTCATCTGAGGAGCCTTTCTGATTCCCTTCCTATCCCCCAAGACAGGGACTCTGACCCTTCCCTGGTCTCAGGGCCAGAACCTCTCATGGTTTGCGTGCAGTACTGCGTCACCATCACGATGTGCCCGTTTGTTCTTCACACTAGACCACAGGGTTCATGGGTGTCAGGTTGCCTGTGCCTTTGAGCTGGGTTTTCAGTCGCTAGCACAGGGCCTGGCACAGTTGCTGTGAGTGAAAAGTGGCGAGTGATTCTTAAATGTGGACTTGATCTCATACACTCTCTTTGCTCCAAAATGGTGGGTAGGAGCAGGAGTTCTTGGCGGTTCTCAGTTTCTGAGGACTCATACTAACTTTACTCTGTGGGCCCAACTTTTTTCTTAATTTTTGATTTATCAGAAGTGGTATGTAAGTAACCCTCCTTACATGTCAAAAACAGGTTGTTCCCTACTCTAAGAATCATCAGCAGTGTTTAGGCTCAGAGCTTAACAGAGGTCCTTGGATGGATGGAGTTGACGTTCTGATTATTCTATGACAACATCTCTCAAAGCGTATTCTTGGTTTTCTTTATAAATGTAAGTCAGCCTTTAGGGGTTAATCAGACGCAATTGAGTGGGTTTTGGTGTTAAAACAGAAAATTGGGAATAGAACACACAGAGGTGCTCTTTTTGGGGCAGCCTGTGGCCAGTTTGACAGTGCATTTTCTGGAAACAGGATCATTCTGCTGCCTCAGTGGGGTAAGGAGGGAACGTGAGGCAGGGGGAGATGGGTGGCCCTCAGCTCTGGGCAGTCCCATCCTGTGAGGAGTGAGGTGTCTCCTCATTTCTCTGCCCTGAGGAGCCGTCTGTAGGTTGACTGTCCTTTTGACCCCACAGTGAGGGAGCAGGACCTCCTTTCTACCTTACACTATGTGGGGCTGTGGGCCAGTTATAGGGATGTTTATGAGATTGTTTTGAGGGATCCTCCTAAGCTTTCTTTTCCTTTATATTTAAATTGTTCAAAAATTATGAAACATGGAAAATGGATACCTGTGTACTCACCACCCAGTTGGTCATATTTATTTCAGATCTCTCTCAAATCCCACCACCTTCTACCTTCTCTTCCATATGAATGCTGTTACTATCCTGTGTTTGCATTTGCCTTTCCTGCCCATGTTTTTTGGACACACACACACACACACACACACACACACACGGATATATACATCCATAAATAATGTAACTTGTTTTGATGTTTAGAAGTATCATATAAATGATATAATGATGCAACTTTCTTACAAGTTCCTTTATAAAGATTGCATTATGTTTTTGAGATTTGCCATGTTGACAGATGTGGCTGTCTTACAGTATTCCATTGAGGAATGAGGTAGTGTTTATGCATTCATTCCCCCACCGAGGAGACCGTTAGATTGGCCCACTTCTTTCTTTTATAAACACTGCCAAAATGAACCTTTGAGTATTTCCATTTGTTTAGGAGTTTCTAGAGTAGTCTCACCAAAGAATTCAAGGTTGTAGGCTTCGTTCACCTTGGACTTTACTGCGTACAGCACCAAAATGCCCTCCAAGTGCTTATACCAGTTTACTCTCCTGCCATTTTTCAGTCCTTTAACCCACATCTCCCCCACCCTTCATGTTACCAGGTCCTTTCATTCTTGCCAAGTCTGTAGGGTGTGTGGCGGTACCCCTGCTGTTTATTTTGTATTTACCTCATCACTGGTGGGGTGGACCATCCCTGCTCCCCAGGCTTCTGATTACACTGAGACAGGTGTGATTTATAGATGGGTAATCTGGGGTCTCCATCTCTTGAAACTGTTTGAATTGCTCTTTCAGATGGCAAGTTTGGTGCCTACATGCAAGTCCACATTCAGAACGATGGGCCTGTGACCATAGAACTGGAATCTCCAGCTCCTGGCGCTGCTGCCTCCGACCCAAAGCAGGTACATCTGGCATTGGGATCTGTTCGCTGGGTGCCTGTGACACCTTTTGGCTTCAACTTAGTCCCTGGAGCAGTTCTCAATCTGTGGTGGACACAGCACTTCATTGCACAATTTATTTTAATACATCCCTTCTCATCTGCTCACACCTGCCCCCATAGTGCTGTGGCAGGCAGGGACCGCACTTCTGCCTTGCCTCCTCCTGACTTTGGATTCCAGAGAAAATGACTTTGGATTCCAGAGAACCATTCTTTCTGTTCTCTGGCGAGGTGCTTTTTCACCCACATGCCACTGGGTGGCAGCAGAGTAGCGGCACAACTCCCCTTGGCTCTGGATTGGCAGGTTCGCCCATTCAGAATGGCTACCTGGAGTGGGTTTTATTCCAGGTGTAAGCAGATGTGTCAGCCGAGGTTCTTTGTAAAACCTCATGTTTCTAAAGCAATATCTGACCTGGATTTGCTGCCAACTCCGTAAGCAAATATTACGGAGATAATACAGAAAATATTAAAATTAAACTTGAGAAAGGAGCTCTGTTGATCGTCTTTGTAACGTGTGGTTCTCTCACAGATGCTCAGCACTTCTAAAGGCTTTAATTAACACACACACTTAGTAGCCTTCCAGACGGGGGAGCGGCAGGCAGAGGAGTGAGAACTGAAGGGACATTCCTGTTATTGCCTCCCTCCCTTGCTAAGAGGCTGGGAAGCAGAATATAAACTTAAAGCTCTGTGACCTGTTCAAAGTGATAATTTTCACAGGGAACATCACCTTTCTCTTTTGTTACTGATTCTTGTCTTGACAGAGAAGCAGGAACATGCCTGATGCAGCAGTGCTAGACTTCAGAGGTGATAATTGAGGTCCCTGGGATTACCGATACCATTAAAGAAATCACAGAACATCCACATGAAAATTTAAACTTTTTATACTGAAATAATTTGAGACAGAAAATTGAAAAAGGAGTCAGAGTTCTCATAAACCCTTTACCCAGGTTTCCTGAATTTTGCTGTCCTTCATAGTCATAGTACACTGATCAAAACATTGAAATTAATATTAGTACAATACTCTTAACTACACGACAAACCTTATTTGAATTTCACTAGTTTTCCCCAATGTCCTTTTTCTGTTTCAGGATAATCTCACATTGTATCCAAGTAGTCTTCTCCAGTCTGTGACAATCCCTCTGTCTTTCCTTTTCTTTCATGGCCTTGACACTTTTCAAGACTACTGGTCTGCTGTTTTGAGGCATGTTCCTCAGTTTGGATTTCCTGCGATGCATTGAGATTTTGTACTTTGACAGGAATAGCAAATAGCACAGAAGTGATCTTGTGTCCTTTTTAGTGTATCATAGGAGGTACATGATATTGAATTGTCTTATTACAGGCGATGTGAACCTTGATTCCTTGGTTAAGGTGGAGTCTGCCAGATTTTTTCACTCTACAATGAATTTCAATCTCTTTCCCTTCGTCTGTCCTCTTGCTCGTTCATAGCAGTTGACTCTGTTTCTGTTTCACGGAGAAAGGAACTATTGGTTGGCACTGACCCTGCCTCTCCATTCCCTCTTCCTGCCCTGGCACCTGAGCTGTCTTTCCTGGTGCTGAGGCCAGCACCCGCCCGCCCTGGACTGGTGCGTAATTTGTGAGGCTCAGTGCAAAATGAAACTGAGGCAGCCCCTTGTTCAAAAATTTTAAGGAATCTGAAGTTGGTGACAGCAGAGCATTAAACAAGGGTGGTGTCCTTCTGAATGGGGGCCCTGCCTGTGATTGCACAGGTTGTGCACCTGTGGAGCCAGATTAACTATGGAGCCCTTCTCACCCTTCCCACCCTCCCCTTCTACCTTCTAGGCAGCCAGTTTGTCTCTTTCACTCATTTGTGTCTTTTAAAAAATATGTTTTTATTGATTTCAGAAAGGAAGGGAGAGGGAGAGAGAGAGAAACATCAGAGAATCATTGATCGGCTGCCTCCTGCATGCCCCCCACTGAGGATCGAGCCCGCAACCCAGGCATAGGACCCGGAATCGAACCATGACCTCCTGGTTCATGGGTTGACGTTCAACCACTGGGCCACACCGGCCAGGCTCACTCATTTGTCTTAATCCCATTGGCTTAAAACATTTTTTAAAAAATATATTTTATTGATTTTTTACAGAGAGAAAGGGAGAGAGATAGAGAGTTAGAAACATCGATGGGAGAGAAACATCGATCAGCTGCCTCCTGCACATCTCCCACTGGGAATGTGCCCGCAACCCAGGTACATGCCCTTGACCGGAATTGAACCCGGGACCTCTCAGTCTGCAGGCCAACGCTCTATCCACTGAGCCAAACTGGTTTCGGCTAAAACATTTTTTTTAAAGAACATATTTTTATTGATTTCAGAGAGGAAGGGAGAGGGAGAGAGATAGAAACATCAATGCTGAGAGAGAATCATTGATCGGCTGCCTCCTGCAAGCCCCACACTAGGGATCGAGCCCACAACCCAGGCATGTGCCCTTGACCAGAATCAAACCTGGGACCCTTCAGTCCGCAGGCCAACACTCTATCCACTGAGCCAAACCCACTAGGGCCCATTGGCTTTTAAATATTCCCAGGGATCTCCAATTGAGAAGTACCTCCATTATCTTCCTTCTTGCTGCCTCTTCAGTGTACTACTCTCATCTGCAGAGACTCTCACTGAGTTCCCCAGCGGCCTGCATGTTGCTCTGTTTCATGACTGTGGACTTGAAGGCCCACCTGACTCAACCACTTAGCAGCTCTTGCCCCTGGAAACCGTCTTGGCTCTTGTTTCCCAGGATACTGCTCTCTCGCAGTTTTCCTCTTGCCTCTGGTGGCTCCCTCTGGTTTTATTTTTTCATTATTCTGTAGTTTTGATGGATTGTTCTACTTTAATTGTATTTGAATAAAAAATGTAGTCAAGTTTTTGTTCATTCTAAGTATTTTTCTAGAAGTGGTAGCGTATGGTAATACTTCATATCTTTAGGATCTTCAACCTTCTTTCAACTAGTGCCTCCTCTTTTCATCTCCTCCCCTCCCCTTTATTAATCCTCACCAGAGGATATGTTTTTAATTGACTTTAAAGAGAGAGGAAGAGAGAGAAACATCTCTTGGTTTTCTGCAACCTAGGTATGTGCCCTGACTGGAAATGAGACCCGTAACCTTTTGGTGTACAGGACAATGCTCCAAACCAGCTGAGCCTCCCAGCGAGGGCTCTTTTCTTCTTTAAAACAGAAGCAAATAGGCACAAATTTTTAAACCTCCAAGGCATGCTAACCTAACCTATTAGGATAAGAAAATCTTTTATTAGTTATTTCTAAATCTTTTAGAAGCCTTTTTCTCAATTGTCCTGTGTGAGTTTCAATTATTTATACAAGTTAGCTGACCCTGAAGTCTCAGACCCTGGAAAACTGTGCAGATGTCTGTCCTCCGGCTGTCCAGTAGGTGGCGACGAGTAGGCATGGAAGGGGCCCATGTGACGTGGCTGCTGGCCTTACCTATGGCCTTTCCCTGCCTTTCCATTCTCAATAAGAAGGGACTCCCTTTGGGCAGAGAGCTAATTTGTTTATTTTTATGTTGGTAGGAAGACTGCAGCCAAATTATTATTTTTTAAATTTTTATTTATTTTTTCATTTTTGATTAAGGCAGCGGTTCTCAACCTGTGGGTCCCTTTGGCGGTCGAACGACCCTTTCACAGGGGTCGCCTAAGACCATCCTGCATATCAGATATTTACATTACGATTCATAACAGTAGCAACATTACAGTTATGAAGTAGCAACGAAAATAATTTTATGGTTGGGTCACAACATGAGGAACTGTATTTAAAGGGCCGGAAGGTTGAGAACCACTGGTTAAGGTGTTACATATGTGTCCTTATCGCCCCATTGGTGCCCCCCCTCCACTCATGCCCTCACCCCCCTGGTGTCTATGTCCACTGGTTAGGCTTATATGCATGCATACAAGTTCTCTGGTTGATCTCTCCCCCTTACTCCCACCCTCCCCTACCTTCCCTCTGAGGTTTGACGGTCTGATCGATGCTTCTCTGTCTCTGGATCTGTTTTTGTCCATCAGCCAAATTCTTTTTAGTGATAGGTTGACAAGCATTTCTATCAACTGAGCTTTTAATTCTAAGTGTTTTATTTTCCCATATGATTCAGCTACTGTAGTAGTGAAAACTGCATACATTACAAAGGAATGATTCCTTTGACAGGTTTTTAAATGTAGGTTCTTTAAACCACCTGAACAAATGAACAATGTGTGTGTGTATATATACATCAAGTGTCTTTTTTTGTATACAACGGTGTGGTGGGCACTGTGAGGCAGAGAAAGACGTGAGGCCACATAATCCCTGCTCTTAGGGGGGTAGGTTTAGGGCAACATAAACTTGGAAGGTTAGTAACAGTGAAAGAGGTAAAGAACGGTATATGTCAGTTTAGGACATGCCACAGCCCATCATGTCAGGCTTTTCTTAAAGCTGAGGCCGGAGTGCCCAGCCCTCTGTGGTTCTCTGTTACCTGCTTTACAGCCAGCAGTTCCTCACTCTCTTACGCTTTACCTAATCTTGCCTCCGTCTGTTCTAAGAACAGGTTGAGCTCTTTCCTACCTCTGGGCTCTGGGCTCAATGTCAGTGTCTCCTCCTCAGAGGAGGTCCTCTGACCCCCTTGATTCCAGTGAGCCCCTGCCGGCTACTCTGTCACGCTGCTCTGATGATTTATGTCATAGCACTTAGCACCATCTGTTATCTGCTTGTTTCCACGCTCCTCATCTGTCCACACCCTCCTACCATTTAAGCTTCCTGAGTCTTGTCCACTGCTGTGCCCACCCCAGGAGGTGAGCCCGGGTATAGTTGGTTTTGGAATCATGTGTCATGGGCCTGTGAACTGTGACATCTGTGAATGTCCTGCTTTCTGAGCAGGCTGGTGCCACTGCTGTCGCCACTGAGCTGGAGAGGCCTCCCGGGGACTGGAGGTGTTAGCTGACCTTTTAGGATGCAAGGAGAGCAGGCATCTCAGTTGCTG